ATTGTAATCGTTCAAAAACTGAATGTGTAATGCGATTAACAGAATTTAAAAATTTCATACAAGTTGTATAATTTAACATTGGGTATTTTAGATCTCAATTCTGGATTCAGCATCGATGCCACTAAAAAAAATGTAATGACAATAATAAGTATAATGCAATGATATAAAAAATGTATTAGTAAGCGAATAAAAAACCTACAAACTGTCCTATCATCCATTCTATGAGGTATGTCGTAAAATATGAAATATGAACACATTCTTTGCAATGTAGTTGAATCACTCTGTATTTCTCCTGTAGTTAAGTATGACTTGATACACGATTTCAGATCTGAAAAACCAAAGTATAGAATAGTATCGGACTAAAAGTCGAAGAGTCATGATTAAAGGAAATAGAATAATTACCATGTTCCCAACTATCTATAATATACGAAATTTTTTGTACAATTGCTTTCACGCTTTCTGCGTTTAGTAATGGTTTCCTATTTTCTGTATAAGATCGGTTCAATACTTGAGACGAAACAAGTTTTATTTGCCACACAGAGAAACTATTCGGTTCTCTTTCAATGATTTCTATGCTCTTTAATAAATTTACCCACAAAGGAAGAAGCGTAACCTTATCTTTTATTACGCATTCATAAACAATTATAGCAAATGTGTGTAAGAAATGTTTCTCGAACTCTGTCATGTCAAAATGTTGTCCTTCGAATTTATACGAACAACTGGTGTTTTTTAAACCAGACGACAACTCTGCAATTTCCATTTTCTCGATAGATGAATCCGATCGTTCATTCCAGTTACTACTTATCCTTTCGGACACATCGCTCAAGCTCTGAGTTAGATATCCAGAACTACTTTTAGCTAAACTACTGTAAGACTGTGCATTCAAGTTACTGTCGATATTAGTCTTGTCTTTTTTAGGCCACTGTAAAAAGTATTTAACTATGTTCAATACAGTTTTATTGTTTGTAAATGAGGTCACAGATTCGGGACGAGCAGCCCATGCGATCACATTTTCTGTCGTTAACGTTTGTGCAATTAAACTCCTAAATCCCTGCAATATTTAACAATATAATATTAACACTCGGTAAATTAATATGGCTATTGAACTAGATAAAGTAATAATATTTACGTGGGGATCTTCTATGTACGGTAAGCAACCAGCTCTCTGTTTAACATCTAACGGCTCACTTTTTGTAAGCATATTTTCAAGATGCTGCCAGTTATGGCCTTTCTCGAAAACTATTTCCCAGTAACGTTCATCTTTCAGTTCGATCTTTTTAAGACTGGATAACTGTGGTAACAAACATGGCGATTGAAGTACTAAATCTTGTCCCTCGGCTTGCTTTTTCGATTCGAATGTTAAATGTACTTTGCTGTAACAATACTGACGACTATCGATGTCTCTAGGTAAAATAACACGTGGTTCTGCAGCCAACACATACAGATGTCTTAACGCTTGTAAATGATACCTACAAACCATAAACTGTATAATATAGCAATTTCTGAAACATAAATTTCTACGACTAAATTGAAATAGTACACAAACCTGTTATCATTACTGTGAGTTGGAAATTTTGGGAAAAGGGAGATTATAAGAGCAGCTACAGCACTGGGGCTATTCGAGAGAGTGTACATTCCTCCTCCAAGAAACAAAAGACCAAGAGCCATGTGCGTTGCTAAATGGGAACCATATGTAACGACACTGCTTGCTGGGCCCACGCGAGTTCTCACGTGTCGGCATATCCTCATGATCTATAAAATTATAAGAATTACAAAATGCCGAAAATACATCAAATTAAGAAGTATTAAATATTTTACCTCTAAATCACCCGACCCCGCCATCACAACGGCAGCAGAGAGTAAAGTGACGTTTAAGCAGGTTTCAATAGTCGATTTTCCTGCCAGTTCCGCAATAGTTTTATGTGACAAAGCAGTGAACATTTGAGCATAGTTGTACAAAGTTTTAAACGCATTTCTGTTAGCGGTGCCTGCATACTTCAAGCCTAAGGCCATGCAAGCACCCGCGATAATATTGCAATATGCTTGACTGTATATCAATGTATATTATTATTAATCAATATAAGAAAAAGACAGAGAATATAAATGTTTGTATAAGAGCAATATACTAACTTCATGGTCTCCAAATCTACATTCTGTGCTATTTCGGATGTCGGTTTTTGTAATCGGTATTTATAAACGATATTGGGTACGTGACTAGACACCCAAGATTTTGTTGGTTCAATCTCGTTCCAAAGGATAAGTGATTTTGCTAATATCCGCAGTAACAAAAAATCAGGTCGTATAAAATCGAGTAAATATTGAGTGTCGGGGGCCTGCATCCATTCTGCAACGGCCCGATTTCCAGTATTGAAGTACATAAGACCCAGAGCTATCGTTGCTCCTGGACTGGTCACATCAATATTTATAGAATCACCTTCTCTAATTTGATAACTAAAATCATCAAATAGACAAGTTACACAAGTTGTTCTATAAGAAAATCATTTTTGTAACATAGATGTAATTACCTAGGTGATTTGTATTTGTCTTTCTGTGAACCAGTGAAAGGCCTGACGTCTCCACCTACCATATAATAGTGTAAAGTGTCAGGAATACTAGTTAGATCTGGCCCACTGCCGCTTCCTAGTACAACTAGACCCAATGCTAATCCTGCCGCTAACGAGTAAGACTCTCTGTCTACGCAATTTTTGATTTCCGGCCCTGGCGGTCTGCCTGAATTCACCAAATTATAATTAAACATTCGATCAATACTTACAAATTTATAGTGCTTACCAATTTCTGATAGTAAAGCGTGTGAAATGTGTCTGTGAGCAGTACCCTGGTATACCAAACCAACCCCCATTAAGGCAGCCACTTGAACATTGTGCTGAACACTTAATTCGATGCTCGTTGGCGGCAATAATGTTTCAACGTGAAGCGACAACAATTTAGTCATAGAAACATTCATTGTGCCACGATGTGTCGCTGATAATCCCAGTAAAAGACCAACGCTAGTAGCTTCGTGACATTCTACTAAATATTCGTACATATTGAAGGGTGCTAAATTTTTCAGATGTCCGTTCAAACCAAGAGCCATCAGAAAACCTGAATGTTCAATGCCCAATTCTCCTTGTTGCTGCTTATTGTATACTATCCACGTTGAATTAATGTTCGACGCGTTTGGGTGAATACGAAGCCCTGCGGCTACGCCATTGTGAAACAGAGGCCACAAATTCATATTTGGAGGTACATCGATATGAGCCAATTCTACAGTGGTCCCACGTGGAGGTGCTTTTCCTAGCAATAGAATAATATTTCTGTAATATCGATTTCCACTTGATTTAATAATTTCGTTTTTATCTCATACCGGTTAAACACAATCGTGGAATTGGCAACTGTTCTGTAATAATAGGTGTCGACGTTCTTAACGTGAACATGCCTCGAGCCACAGGAAGTGCCATTGTCCTCGTACACAATGCATGCAAATGTTTTTCTTGTTCTTCTATAAACTCATGATCACTCACGTCTGGCCTTTGTACTATTGCTATTCTCACTGGCTTCGAAGAATTAAGAAGTTTTCGTACTTCTGTTACTCTGTGGTCTTTGTTGAACCTTAATTTTAACACAACGTCATCGAATTCCATTCCATCGTCTTGTTCAGGATCTTTGATGGAATAATTTTTTCCTTCGTTTTCCGAGTGTTGATTCGACGTTGATGATTTTAAATGCATGTCTAATGCCGCCAAATCTTGACGATCTATCAATTCGTATGCCTGCATTGGCCAATTCGATGGAGGCCTTTCCCTACACCTGTACATCACATCCTTCAACAATAACGATACACCGGGAGGCAAGATTTCGAGATCTTTTTTGGTCATACCTGAGAACACACAAATACTGAAAGTAACAGAAATTCATGTTTTGAATGAAAACTAATTCGAATATTAACGTTCTTGGACTCACCCATTTCATGGTACGTTAACACTATCCTATCTATTGTAGAGTACTCAACTTTTCGAAATATTTCTTTCTCGTGTTTTGTTCCATTATCTTGGAAATCTATCCGACTACCAACTGGTATTACATGTTTCACAAACTTATCCGCTTCCGGTACATTCGTTTCATTCTCGTGTGCTATTAGCGCAGTTAAGTAAACTATATTCTTTGTTTTCGGATTCACTTGACTTATATAGGGAAATGGCATGGCTTCTCTTTTGTTTAATAAATTGTCTAAAGTCTCAAATATATTTGGCGGTTTCGGCTGAATGTAATTTGGAACGGAAATCTTCAGCAAATCCGACTCATTAATTTGAGATGTAGCGTCGCGTACGTGACAAAGAGTCGGAAAATCTAGAAAGTAGTGATGCGAGTATATTTCAAATTTCAAATCCATACTCAATTGATATAGTAGTTGTGCGAGCAGTGGTAAGCTTTCTGACATTACGCAATTCAATTTTAATTCTTCGTATAAGAGATGCAACGAGAACAGAACTAGTGGAAAATATGGAAATAAAATGGATTGTATGTTAATTCTTCCAGTAGTAGTTGATTCTGCAACATTTGGCACCGATGTCCGTAGAGTATTGGATGTTTTCTGAAGACCAAGTATATTTGAAGTAAAAATTTGCGGATTCCCATTTTTAATCGAATGCACCATGTACATCCAATCATCGGTGGACCCCGAATTGTTTGTTTTCTGTTTTTTCGGCACCACCATTGGACTGTTGCGTTCAGCAAGTTGGTCGTTTTCATTTCTTTGGATTAATTGTAACTTTTCTACTTCATAGCCCAATAATGTAAATAAAACTACAAGGAAATGATACCACTCTTGTTCCGGTGAAAAATCTTGAGGTCCAGGAGCATTTCGAGCGCCATACCATTTTACTAGCAGCTGCATCGCCAAATCTTTCTGCAGAACGCTTCTTAGCGTTTGTAAACATTTAGTGACTGTAAAGAAATATCAAATGACTATTAGTAATAAAATACAATCAGTGTCTTTATTGTAAATTGCGTATAATATATATTTCTTGTTACCTAAAGGAGAAGTACTAGATGTAGGTAAAGTTATTCGAAAATAATTCTTGTTACCATATTCTAAAGTAACCTTATTCCCTACTGCTTCTTTTAAAACGAGATAATTGGAATCTACTAAAGAATTTTCTAACAAAATCGGAGGTCTTGCACAGTTTCCTCCTACTGGACTTAGTAAGTGCAATCCTTCCTCAAATTTAAGATCATGTGCAGTAGCACAGTTTTGAGAGATCAATGAACTTCGTCGCGGAAACGGAGAGCTTAGTTTAGTATTAATACTGGACAAGAAGTAATTGCATCCGGTTAAATTTGGAAGAATTCCTGTGACATGTAACTTTCCAACGCATATCACACCAGAATACAACACCACCCCATTCGATAAATCCATTATAGCTATCATATGCAAATTCTGTAAAAAGAATAAAATAAAGAAAATAACATATTTTATTCTTAAAACAACAATTACACACAGATACATAGATAAAGATGAAAATGAATACTGACTGGTATACTAACTGCATCCTTTGCTACAATACTTGTCACCATGCCAAAAATAATTTGTTGTTGCTTGTTGGTTTTTTCGAGTCTCACTAGAAACAGTTGTGATCGTTGTGGTACCAAATAGCACAAGTAACTCTGTCCAACAAGATCTGACGATAAAAAAACTTTCGACGCCCGTCCAGACACAACTTCCCTTTAAAAGGATGATACTGTTAATACTAACAATATAGTAATTGGGTTCAACACTATCTGACTTACTTTCTACTTAACACCCAAAGGAATTGGAAACACAAAGGAAATCTGTAATAGGGCATATAAAGATGGGATTCTAAAAGATTTACAATATAGACAAGTACAATACTCACTTCGGAATTGCAACATTTTCAGTCCACACATGATCGAGACAAATTTCAGGACACAAAGGCTTACTGGATGCAACGATATCTTGCAATTGTATGTTACTACAGCTACTGACAGGACTGTTTTGTACATGACTTAATGCAGACGCCATAATCGCATGGTGCAATCTGGTGTGATGAATGACAGAAGTAGGTGGTGCTCCGAGTAATGGTGAAAAAGCAGAGTGAGTGGGAGATTGACAACGTGAAATAGTAGCCATTGGACTCTGAGATCTAGAATGTTGTTGTTGTTGTTGCGAAGGAGACGGTCCTCCCGAGCAAGTGGTAGTGTAAGACGTTCGGGAGCCAAATGGACTATTTGTTATACCTAATCCCACAGTACTTAATTGTGGATTAGGTACTCCTAAATTACAATTATTCGATACAGATATTTATAAGAGCTCTTTAAAATTATTTTAGTAAAGGAAAAATGGGGAACTTACCAAATATACTTAAGTATCCTTTATTTGTACAACTTTTGTTATAAGAAAGATTACTTCCAAAATTCATTGGCGATGCACTTGCTGACTGATTAAATATACTAGAAGTGGTGTCATTACTACCACAAACCACTTGACACTCTTCTATTAGCGCTTTACGAATTTTATATACAGAATGCAATCCAGTCTTTGTATCATATATCACAGCTAAAGATGGTTCAGAACTGGTAAATACAATTCTCTGATTTGAATCGTACATGTATGATATACTTCCTACGAGTATTATTATATTTATATAAAAAAAACTTGAATTAATCTTAATATTATAAGAGAATACACAAGGATAATAATAGTACCATGTTTAATAAGTACAGGACAAATTTCATCCAAAGGATGCGTTAGAGAAAATGCCACTGGTAAATTTGTGTCATTGTGCAACTGTAACTTATTTCCATCCAATGAAGTATATCTGCAAACAATAAATAAAGTTGTAAATATTATTTCTTAATATTTAAAGTACTTTTGGAAAATAGAAACAGACCTTATCTCAGATGTTGGAACTTGTGACTTCTCTAATAAAATTCCATATTTTGTAGGCCAAACTGCAGACACCTAAATCACAATGCAATTTTAAATTTATGTCTACTGAAAAAACTTTATTATTACATTTAATTTTTACCTGAAACTGCAAGCTGGACACATAATCCTCACCAGTTTCTGTAAAAACTTTTAGTGTATAAGAATCAATTAGACATATACACTCTACCACATTGTTGTTACACTCATCATCCTCCGATTCTTTTCCTTTTAACAGACGATTGGGTATGCTTGTATGAAATTTACACCATAGGGCATGTTTAATGTCTGTTTCACATGTATAAGTTGTTTGTAACACGCGGGTATTTTGACTACCCTTTGAATGAATTGCAACTTTGCCTGAGCAATACAATTCTTCTTCTCCACATAAATCATTCTCACGTACAATCCAGAAATCTTTCTATACATTTCAAAGTTTTATTTATATATTTGTTAGAAGTTCCGATATCAGAAAATGCTAATTTATTATGATTGGAATAATTGTAATTCATTGTAATCCACCATACAAAAAGTTAACAACTTACCAGTGATCTATCTGAAATATTTACTTGACTAAATTTTTGTAACAAAATATTCTCTCCAGCAGTAGTTTGATTATTTAATACATGTTGACTAACTACTGGTTCAGGATGCCTTAAAATTGTCTGTCTTCCACCAGGAGTATACTCCTTCAACGAAGAAATTATACGGGCAAAATTATCATAATATAATGTTATAATATTTTTTAAGTAACGTAAAAGATGATTCGTGTTGATTGTTACGTTTCTTAACCTAAACACTAGGTGACTTACCACCGGTTCTGAGGCGGCAATCATCTTCTTCCTAGTTTCATCCAGATTTGCAGACTGTGGTAATTAAAAACTAGAAAAACGATATTGATAGATATTTATTTAAGATTATCTTCTGAAGTTGACTGAAATTGGTTTTTCGAACGATATTGTTAAACGATGGATGCGTCACTATGGCATCGCCATATTCGAATATGCATAGTATAGTATAACAGCCGGTGTATGTACATGCATGTACGTAGCATGTATGTTTATACGGTAGCACATATGTACATATGTACTGAAATGCCTACGTATATATTTACATACATATATGCACAAGTCAGGTACATTTTTAATTAAACGTTACGATACTATTACGATAGAATTGCGTACTAAATATATCTCTTTGATAATACTTTTTCTGAATCTTCTTGATCACGGAAAACATCGCATGATCGAATTACTGTCATAGAAATATGGCACCATTATTAACGATTACGATTGTAACATATGGCGATAATTATTTATACGTGTAAATGTTTATAGATTTATTTTACCAAAGCATATTTACAAATACTTTGCAAAATTGTTACTGCAGGTAGAAATTACATTATCCTTTCATTATAACGTTAAATCGATCGACTAAAGCACTTAAATTTGTTTAGTTCAATAAAAACTGATCGCTATGTTATATTAAATATAATAAAACTATAAATAGTATAAAAAACATAAATACATACATATTATGGATGTAGTATTTCAAAAATAAACAATTTCAAATTTATAAATAAATACGGAATTTAATTTCACTAAACATATTGAAATTTAGAAATTTTTCTATGTACATATCCAAGGAACCATAATAAATAATAGAAATTTCGTGAAAACGAAATAAAAAATTTATTGTATAGTTACAACTGAAAATAAATATCATGATTTTTTTACAACTATTCAATTATAAAATAAATCATATTGCATGCATGTTTCGTGATTCCTTGGAGTATTATTCTCGTTCGAAAGAGAAAGTTCAAACGCATTTTAAAAGAAATTGCAATATTAAAAGCATTAGAAAAGCACTGTCAACACGGAACATGTCGATCTTTGTGCCGAGTGTGCCATTATTTATGTGTTGTACTTAATTTATGTGTCATTGAAATTTTCGATTTTTCTAAATTACATTCAGAACGTTTTACGATGAATCGCTCTCATACCGGCTTCTTCGTATTCCCTTTTACTAACCCACATCTTCTTAAATGTATCTAAAGAAGCTAGAATGGACCCACCAATCCAGGTGCTATATAATCGTTCTTGAGGCGCTGATATCTAAACATTACAATAAAGTAATAATGTTAAGAGATATCATTGTAATAAATAATAAAATTTTAATCGAATGAATTTTCACGCATACCCTAATTTTTACTTCCTTTGGTGCCACTTTACGAATTTCAGATAACAGTCTGTCACCAAATCCCTAGTGTACAAACAATGCATATAAAAATATTATTCAGTCACATACAGGTTTGAATAACTTCATACTTACGCGGAATAGTGTTGATCCTCCTGACAAGACAATGTTCTGGAATAATACTTTCCTCAAGTCTATATCAGACTTTTGAATGGAATATGTTAACACTTCGTGGAGTCCTTCATATTCTTCGCCAATCAGATCTGGTCTAAAGAGAACTTCAGGAGCTCGAAACCGAGCTGGACCAATCTATTTAAAAAAGTATCATACTCTGCATATATTACACGATATGAAGTAATTTTCAAATTAGCTTGAAACACGTTATAATATTAGGAGGGGTCTATATAATTATAATTATAATAAAGAATTAATTTACTGCTAATTGAAATAAATACCTCTAAGTAGCTTCCATCCGGTAATACATATTGAAGCTTCTCTGTATCGATTGTTTCCTCTTTCTGAGGATTACTAGCGAGATAGCATGTACGTTCTTTAATTGTCCTAACAATTTCAAATTCTGCTGTTGTTTTAAAATTAATACCCTCTTTACGTAGAAGAAGTCGAAGATGTCTTGTAACATCACGTCCTGCTATATCGATCCTCATAATACTATGAGGCATAGCAAAACCTTCATAAATAGGTACTGCATGCGTGACACCATCTCCAGAATCTAAAACAACTCCTGTCGTTCGTCCTGTAGCGTATCTATTAAATTAAAAAAATAACAATTAGATTTACTGACATAATATCTCTAACTGATATTATTTTGAATAACAAATTTATAAGTCAAATACCTACAGACTAAGTACTGCTTGCATTGAGATAAATAAAGCTGGTACATTGAATGTGTCAAAAAATATTTCTGCTGCTTTTTCACGATTTTTTCTTGGATTAAGAGGTGCTTCTGTCAGTAAGACTGGATGTTCTTCACAAAACGTAGCTAATTGGTCTTTACCATATACATAAGACCAAATTCTTTCCATGTCATTCCAGTCTGTAACAACTCCGTGTTCCATTGGATAATGGAGAGATAAAAGGCCACGATGTTCTTCTGCGACTGGACCCATAAACAAATTTCCTTCCAAAGCACCAGCCATAACACGAACGTGTTTGGGTCTTCCAATACTATAAAATATCATTGTCAAAAGATCATTTTTAAAAATAATTAAACATTTAATAACTAAACATCAATGAACTCAAACAATCTATATTTTTTGGTATACTGTCTGTGCAGAAAAAAAAGAAAGAAATCTTCATGTAGGTTAGCACCTTTGTTGAGTTACTTTACCACTTATTGATACCACTAAGCAAACACTATAGGAGATAGTATTAAAAAATCTGCTTACTAGTTGGGAAATCTGCATTTTGGTATCTGATCACCTGCAAATCCTGCTTTGATTACTCCTGAACCCTAAAAAGCCCAAACGATTATACAGTCATATAATTACCGTTCTGAAATTGAAGAAGATAACAATTTCAGAAAGATCGTCAAATTTATTTGATACCTGATATACTTAAAAAAACAGATATGGATTTCGAGAAAGTCAAAAAAATTTTGTTCACAAAATTTAATAACGTAGTCGATGCAAATCATTTCAAGGAGAAAGTTCGAAATTTTGGAGTTTCTTAGGAGCCGACATTATGGTATGATTCAATTTGACATACCGACACAAAGAGCGTAAAACATAAAACAATTTTTAAATTTAGTAGATCACTTACGTTATCGATAACTACAGGCTGATTAATTATGACATCATAGGGCTCCATAATTATTTGGAAAATGTACTGTTTTATGTAAGAACTTCAAAAATTCACAACTGTAACCCCTCAGTCACACACCTATTCTCTGGTGAGGTTTGAAGTCAGTTATTGACAGCTAGACGAAACAAAATCACTTCTTCCGACTAGTCTCAAACAGGGTTGCCAATAGAAAATTAAAACTAAAGCTTCAATCGGTGAAACCGGTAGATTCAAGACACCACATATGCAAGTGATACACATAATATTAAGAAATCAGACATTATGTATTTAAAGAAAATATACTTGTAGGACATTGATTTACATACATAAAAATGCATAAATATTTTAAACGTGTTTATTTCTAAGATGATTTAACATTACAGCATAGTTTTTGTTTAACGAATCACAGCCAAAATCTGAAAGTTGCTTATGTGTTTGACTATTTCAAACAACGATTTTTCCTTTGTAAAATTAGTTAGATCATTATCTTTCTATGTGTACATATCTAAATGTGCAAATAACAGACATAATTATTATTTAAAAATTAGTATAATATAAATAGTTTGCAAGCTAATACTGTGGGAGTAAAATTAAAAAAATATAAAAATTATATTACTTTACATCAATGAAGATGTTACCATAATGCTAATTAATTACATAGTAATCTAGTTAAATTAATTAGAAATGCAATTTGATGTTAATTTGATAAAAAATATGTTAATCAACGTCATTAAAATAGTCTTCACACATAATAAACTTTGCATGGTCGCAATACGCGAGTAAGTGTTTGAACATATTTCTGTGCACTCTAAATACAACTCTATTGCATTATTTTGTAAAACATATATACCTATAAGTTACCAAAATTTCTTACTATGGAAAACATTTTATTTCACGTAAGCGATTTTGATAATTTATAGGATCTGTCACATGTTATTACATTCTCTGCTGGCATTAAGAAAGTCTTTTGATTTTGCTATTACTAAACGAATACAAATGGAAGTATTCGGAATTATGTGTAATATAAAAAGAAAATTAATAAATTTCTGCCATAAGTAAAACAATTAAAGCTGTCCAACCGGAAAATGGATGGCTTCCTTTGCCATCTCCATGAACGTCTCCATAATTTTCCCATATGTAACCAGACTTTTTATACTGTTTCATGATATTCTGTATCAAATTTTGCCTCAAGTTCAAATAAATAGTTTTCGCTTTTTCTTGATACGGTCCATCTATGTTGGAGTAGTAATGAGTTGCTCTTACTGTTAAGTAATTCATATTCATCCAAATCGCACCTCTCCAGTAAGGAGCATCATGTTCGGTGTTATATTTCATATATAACGGAGATGTCTTCGCGAGTGAACGTAGGCCATATGTAGTCCATAGAAGATTGGGATTCATTAAATCTTCTAATACTTTACCTAGTTGCGGAGATTCAGGATCAATAATTTGTAAAATATATGGGAATAATGAGACGTAACCAAAAGATGAATCCACATATTTTAAAGTGGGATCTTCTGAAACAACACGTATCATTTCTGATGATTGCACGTGAGATCTCGGAGGTGAAGGCTGTCTTCTTAACGATACTTTATCTGTATGCAAACCAAAATCAGCATAAGTCTGTGTATTTGGCGACCAATGTAATTTATTTAATAAATTATTATCCGATAAATATTGATACGTCTCTTGATACTTATCATTAGGATTATTTATAATATTACTAATCTGATACATGATATCAGCGGCAGCTGCGATCCAACAACGTAAATCAACGTGTCGTTCGTCAACGTTTGGATGAGACGCTCTTGGGTAATCATCTAATCCAGACGTAAGAGTTTTTGGATTCAATTCTTTATTTGTAGTACCATCCCTGCCTCGCCATCTGTATGTGCTTGGCAAATCCCCTGTTTGTGTCGTGTTAAACCAATTGAACCACGTCTGAAGACGAGGATACAATCTGTCAAGAAATTTAAAATGCTTCTCCAATATTTCGTTTTGATTGTGTTTAAGAATGAACTGTAACGTTAGAAAGAACATGGGCGGATTGGCATTTGTGTTGATTTGAGTGACGAACTCTTCTGGAACTTTTGCTAGAGCTTCTTGGCTTAAAATCATTTCTCTTGGTATCCAACCTTCAACGTTCATTAAATCGAACCAATGATTTATAATATCTAGTTCAATTTCTAAATCCCACGTCGATATCAGTAAGCCATGGAAACCTTCGTCCCATAGAAAACCTCGTGGAAAAAAGCTTCTACTCGGTACAGCAGTATACAAAGCTGCTTTCCAGTAAGGCACAGGTCCTTTAGTATATTGGCTTTGTACTTGTGAAGTTCCATAAAAATATCCTATGGAACCTATCATGTTCGACAGTGCCATTTTTGCAAACTTTATTTCTTCTTCTGCGTAATTCTTTGCAGCCAATTTAAAGACTTCTTCAAATTTGTCATCGAATAATCTTCTCTGCGTTTTCAGAGCGTGCTCGTAATTTTTACCGACTAATTTGTTACCTCTATTTATAAAACTACCAGACTCATAACTGACTTCTATTGAGAATGGAATCCTTCCTGTTATTTGCGATACAATAAAGTTTGCGTCTTTCTTCTTTCCATCTACAGCCAATGGTACTTGTTCACCGGATAAAACTATGTGTTTTTTCATAGATCCTTTATGAGTGGCAACTCTAAAATTCTGAAGAACAGATTCTTTCAAATGGCTCAAACCAGGAGTGACAGTTGTTAAAAACGAGTGCTCCTCCATATTCCCTTGAACTATGTTGATATTTATCTTAAATGTGCCTAAACCTTGAGTATTTCCTTCTACACCTGTTATATGTTTCTCGTCACCGAGACTGGCTTTAATCCAACCCTTAGTGTGTTCATCAGTGGCAGTGTAAAAGAGTAGAGAAATTTCTTCGCCATCTCGTATTTGTTTCTCGGATGTTACAGCGATTCTCGCTGTCCAATCTCCACCATGTTTACCACCAGGTCTTTTAACAAATGTAGTATTCAAAATAACTGAATTATCTACTATTTCTTGAACACCAAAAGTTCTTCCATCATGCTCCAACCATGCATACCTAAATTAAATTTACACAACATTGGTTATGTAGTATATTCTAAATAAAATAGATTATCAAATATAAAATTTTGCTTACCTATCCAATTTATCTGCTTGTTCACACCAATGTCTAAGGCCACTACCATCCTGACGTAGTAAATGTGGAAAGTACCACATCAAACCTGTTACCAAAGAATGAGGATCTCTTGTTTTTAATCCAAAATATACACCTGGACGATAAGTACCCCAGTATCTGTCCGGAATATCTAAACCAGATGCTGTAACTAACTGTTTGCAAATAAGACAGTGAAAAAGTATTGCATTAATAAATTTTATAAAATTATATTTGATATAATAACACATAAAGCAAACCTTTTCTACATCGTAAGGTGTATTCACTCTAGTTTCCAAGTATCCCTTATAACTGAACCAAGTTGCAATGGCAATACATGCGGTTGTAATTGCAGTATTCAACACTGACATTTTAAATTTACTTTCTTTTCTAATGTCGCTAGAATTTGGAATTTTGTTTTTTGCTTTTGTAAACTTGTCCTGTGCTTTACTCTTGGCCATATTAATTACCTTAAAAAGAATAGTAAATATTGCTTATTTTCCAATAAAAATGAAACGTGGAACGAAAACAAATATTTTCTTACAAAAATAAAATAATTTATAATTTTTAAAATATATGCCAAGTCCTAATATTTTTAAGTACTTAAATGTTAAATATATTGTACGAATATATTTAATCTTAACAAAACAAGGCAGAAAGAAGTAGTTTCCAATTCGAATTACAAACTCTGTTTCACATTTACGCGATCAATTCGTTCCTTGAAGGTTATATGTAGATGATAATAAATTTACTACATACCTGATAAGAACCGAAAAATAGAACACGTAGTTATACTTTTAAAAAAAAAGCACGATAAAATGAACGCT